CAAAAGGCAATGAAGTAGACAAGGCCAATATTGATGTCATCCAAACACTCCCGTACCCAACAAATGTACGGGACGTTCGCTCTTTCCTTGGACATGCCGGGTTCTACAGAAGGTTCATCAAAGACTTCTCCAAAATCTCATCTCCCTTATGCAAACTTTTGCAAAAGGAGGTGGAATTTGATCTCAATGCCGAATGTAAGGAAGCTTTTGACACTTTGAAGGAAAGGTTGGTAACCGCCCCCATCATACAAGCCCCCGATTGGTCTCTTCCTTTTGAGATTCTGTGTGACGCAAGTGATTATGCGGTGGGGGCTGTTTTAGGCCAAAAAGTCGGGAGGGCTTCTCATGTAATCTACTATGCCTCCTCGACTTTAAATGAAGCTCAAAAGAACTACTCCACCACCGAGAAAGAAATGCTAGCGGTGGTCTTTGCTTTGGAAAAGTTTCGTTCCTACCTTCTTGGGACGAAAGTTATTGTTTACACCGACCATGCCACCCTCCGCTTCCTCATGACAAAGAAAGAGGCCAAACCAAGACTCATTCGATGAGTCCTTCTACTAAGTGAGTTTGATTTGGAGATAAAAGACAAGAAAGGAGCGGAGAACTTGGTGGCCGATCATTTAAGCCGGTTCATTCCTCACAAAGACATTGAAGATCTTCACACAAATCTCATCAAAGGCGAATTCCCAGACAAAACTCTTTTCTCCATCAAAGTCATACAACCATGGTACGCAAACATTGTAAACTTCCTCGTTTCCGGCAAATTTCCTCCACAATTCTCAAAATCTCAAAAAGAAAAATTAAAAATGGACTCAAGACTCTATGTGTGGGATGACCCATATTTGTGGAAACATTGTAAGGATCAAATAATCCGAAGATGTGTCCCCGAATATGAGATAGCTCACATTATAGAGTTTTGCCATTCTTATGCTTGTGGAGGACATTTCGGCCCGAAACGGACGACAATGAAAATTCTTGAAAGTGGTTTTTGGTGGCCGAGTCTATTCCGGGATGCACATGGCTTTTGTCAATCTTGTGACAGTTGCCAAAGAGCGGGCAACATTTCAAGGAGGAACGAGATGCTACAGAACCCCATGCTTTTCTGTGAAATTTTCGATGCATGGGGTATTGACTTCATGGGACCTTTCCCAAACTCTCAAGGTAACATCTACATCCTACTTGCGGTAGATTACGTTTCCAAATGGGTGGAGGCAAAAGCAACAAAAACTGATGATGCCAAGATAGTAGCAAGTTTCCTCAAATCACACATATTTTCAAGGTTCGGGGTCCCTCGAATTTTAATAAGCGATCGAGGCACACATTTTTGTAATAAAATTGTGGGATCCTTACTCAAGAAATATGGTGTGACTCACAAGATCTCCACCGCTTACCACCCTCAAACCAATGGCCAAGCGGAAACCTCGAATAGGGAGTTGAAATCCATACTCCAGAAAACAGTGAACCCGAACAGGAAGGATTGGAGTATTCACATTGATGATGCACTTTGGGCATACCGAACCGCCTACAAAACCCCAATCGGTATGTCACCTTATAGACTTGTGTTCGGAAAAGCTTGTCACCTTCCCGTAGAGCTTGAACACAAGTCATATTGGGCGGTAAAAGAATTCAACCTCAATCTTGACGAGGCCGGTATACACAGGAAGCTCCAATTACAAGAATTGGAAGAGCTCCACCTGGATTCTTATGACAATGCGGAGATTTACAAAAGAAAGACGAAGGAGTGGCATGATAAAATGATCATAAGGAAGGATTTCAAACTTGATGACAAAGTCCTCCTATTCCAATCACGCCTTCGTCTATTCCCGTGGAAGTTGAGATCCCGTTGGACCGGACCATACAAAGTGGTCAAAATTTATCCACACGGGGCGGTGGAAATTGAAGACCCGGAGACGGGAGAAGTGCTCAAAGTAAACGGACAGAGACTAAAACCCTTCTTTGAGGGTTTTCAACCCAAGAACGTGGAGATCATAGACCTTTCTGAACCGGTCTATAAATAAAGGAGAAACGAAGATATCGTCGAGCCACGACATTAAACAAAGCGCTTCTTGGGAGGCAACCCAAGCAAGGTATGTTTTCTGTATCATTTTATCTAGTAGAGTGTGTGAGTTTAAAAAAAAAAGAAAAAAAAAGAAAAAAAAAGGAATGAAAATAAAATAAAATGAAATACCTGGGGATATACCCGGTCGAGTATAGGTACATACTCGGGCGGGTATTACTGAAAAGAAGAACCCGAGTTCAGTACTCGATCGAAACAACACATTTTTTTGATAAATAGAGGCATACTCGATCGGGTATATTACTGTACCCGGTCGAGTATGAGCTGAAATGAGAAGGTAAAAAAGCCTGCCTCCAGTACTCGATCGAGTACACGTTCATACTCGGTCGAGTATAAAGGGAAAAAGCACTTTATTTCATCCCTGCCTCCAGTACTCGATCGAGTACCGGTTCATACTCGGTCGAGTATACTCAGAAAATACACTTCCCTTGACCCCTGTCTCCGGTACCCGATCGGGTATACAGGGATACTCGATCGGGTACCCCCTGCGATTTATACCCCAAAACCACCCCAAAACACTTCATCTTCCCCAAACACTCCCAAAATTTCGAACCCCCTCTTCCCCAAACTCCATTTTCAACCCTTCTCTCTACCATATCTCTCTCAATTCTCCACCAAATCAACCCATTCCACCACCAAAATACTCCCCTCACTCTCCTCTCCATATCTATACCCAAAAATCCCATTTTCCCCAAACTTCCACCAAATCCCAAAAAAACCCTACCCCATTCGAATTTTTACCTCTTTAAGCTCAAAAGCTTCACAAATGGCTCCAGGGAAGAATAGGGGAGAGAGTTCAAACACCATGGCACCTATTCTGGGCTTTGAGGACCTCATTCCCGCCGATAACGAGCACCGGGCTAGACTCCTCTCCACGATTAAAAGGCAAGTAAAACCTTCCCGTTTTCTATGCCACAATGCTCTCCATGAATTGGGTGTTTATAAGAGTATGAAAAAGTTCTTTCATGAGTTGAGTATGGATCGTATCTTCAAAATGAAATACAATTCGAATGAAAGAATTATCTATGAATTCATAAGCTCGGTGCAATTTGAGAGTGATGAGGATGACTTTAAAGATGATAAACTCAAGTTTCGTTTGTTTAATGAAAATTATTCTATTACAAAACTTGAGTTTGCCGAACATTTTGGCATCCCCGTGCCCTACGAGAGAACCATCTCGGATACCACCATTTTCGGGCACTCCCTATGGACAAAGATGACCGGGGAAGTGAATTTTAGTTCGTCCCAAATGTATATTAGTCATGTTCAACACCTCGTTCTCCGGTTGTTCTTGAAATTCTTAGCCAATTGTTTGCTTGGCCGTCCCAACAACCATCACACTAGAATCGGGGACGTGTGTTTAATATCCGTGGCCTTGTTCCGTCGTCACGTGGATTTTAATCTGTGCAATCTCATGTGGGCACATTTGAAAAAAGAAAGCTTAGCAAAAGGGGCCATAGTTGTGGGTGGAGTGATAATGCACTTGGCAAGTAAGTTCGGGTATACGGATAACTCTCCTATACCTGACTATTGTTTGATGGATATGGGTTGGTTAGGACGCTCAGGATGTACATCGTTTTCTCATACGGTTTATATTGGAGACCAACCAAAAAACATGTACAATTGGATCATACACATCCAACATGTCCAATATTTCCTAATGCCTAGCAAAGACACCCCCAAACTACGCTACAAACCGGAGTTCGAGGAGCCTCACTACCTATTCCCTCACGCCCTCCCACCACATTTCCAAGAGCCTCAAGCCCAAGACCCCCCCGAGGATCAACCCGACCAAGAACCTCAACCCGAGCAACAAGAACCCGAGGATGCACTTCACCACATGCCCGAACAAAACCAAACATTCCCACCCCCCGATTACTTCCAACAACTCCTTGAAGGGTTCAACAAAGTGACCAATAAAGTTGGAAAATATCGGGAGGAACAACGGGCGGGATTTCAAAGACTAGAGGAGCAACGGGCCGAAGACAACCGAAGGTATGAAGAAGATCAACGTAGGTTCTATGGACCTATGTATTCTTACATGGCTCATCAAGGCCAATTCCACACCATGGCTCAACCACCACCACCCCCCTCTTGGTATGACCCCACTCAATGGGGCAACTTTGGAGGATCAAGCTCCGGGGGTGGAGGTTATGACGGCGGGGACGACGGGGATACTCATATGGGTGACGGAAGCTTTGGAGGCGGATTTGGAGGCGGCTTCTACGGCGGAGAAGGCGGGCACTAGGGACCGTGCTTGATCTAGGTGTGGGGGAGGAGACTCTTAATGGTATGTAATTTCATTTTTTACCCTATACTATGCATGGATTTCTTTTACTCGTTGTAAACAAAAAAAAATGAATAAATAAAAGAAGAGAAATGCTAGTTAGGTTGAAAACCCAACAACATGGGCAATCTAAGCAAAAAGGGCTTACAAAAAAAAAAGTGAGTGGGGAGAATGGAAAATGTAAAGAGATGCTAGGATGAAAACCTGAAAAGGCTCCTAGGCAAAATGAGAGATATGAGAGAAATATTTTTTTGTGTGCAGGAACTCATTTGATCCCAAAAAATAGTACATAATGTCTTTTGCCTGATAAAGTTAAAAGGAAAAAGGTATTTGTTAGCCGATGTTATCCTGTGACAATTCAAACGTGTACATATGTGTTCATAATTATCTCTTTGTATTGTAATTTAATATTAGCCGTAGTTATCCTCTAAATTGTTAGCACTTTATTAGGCTTATGATCAGCATATACAACAAACAATGTACCTAGACAGCATATACAGAAACTAGTCTAGGTACATTGTTTGTTGTATATGCTGATCATAAGCCTAATAAAGTGCTAACAATTTAGAGGATAACTACGGCTAATATTAAATTACAATACAAAGAGATAATTATGAACACATATGTACACGTTTGAATTGTCACAGGATAACATCGGCTAACAAATACCTTTTTCCTTTTAACTTTATCAGGCAAAAGACATTATGTACTATTTTTTTTAGCAATAGGAAGTATGCCAAAAGAGATTAGAATACTGAAGTACTTGCTCACAATTGAAGATCCAGAGCAACGCATCTCTGCTTTGAAAGATGCTTTCACGCCTGGGGAGGAGCTTGAAGGAAAGGACGTTGATTTGCTATATACGTATGTTTTCTTAAAGACTTGAACTGTTCTCTAATTCAAATTTAATTAATCTTGGTATTTGGACCCTTGTTATGATAGCTCCACTTTTATATGGATCCTCTAGAAATCGTCGGTATCTGCTTTAAATAGATTACTCTTTCCCCCCATCGTGGGACACAAATTGGATATACGAGGACACAACTTGTGATCTAATTAGTTGGTGTTTTGATTATTAAAATTTTTAAATTTGTAAAGTTAAACTTATTTTGTATGCTGACATAATAGATTTTTGATTTAGTACTTGTTACAATTTAGAAGCTGTTCTGTTCGTCTTATTCTTATTGCTTATTCTTATTTTATTCAGATCAGATCAGATCAGAATCATTCAGATCAGATCAGATCAGATCAGAATCATTCAGATCAGATCAGAGAGATTCAGATCAGATCAGACCAGATCAAATCAGAAGCATTCAGATCAGAAGCATTCAGATCAGATCAGATCAAAAAGTTTCAAACATGATTTAACACTTTTATTATTATAAAATAATAATAATAATAACAATAATTTTTATTATGATTATTAATATTATGATTATTATTGAGGTGATGAATATTATTATTATTATTATTATTTTTATTATCGGCGTCGTCGTCATCATCGTCGTCATCATCATAATGGTAGTCAATTTAAGTAGTCGATCATAAAAGATGACATTTGCAGTGTTTTAGAAACTTGGTGATTTATGATTTGCTATTAATAAATACTTGGATACTTGATCAGTTGCTTCCTCAATTACTCACGTGCAATAACAATCTGTATTGTTGATTAGGATAGTTTAGTGTGGGGTGATGTTCATAAGACAAGTTTTTTGTTAATAAGACGAAGTTATGTTCATGAGAGTAGTTTGTAGTTGTAGTTTGTACTAAAGTTTAGCAACTTCTAATACATTTAGTGAACTTCCTAATCAATAAGATTATTGTGCATGTTTCACTATGTTAAACGAAGTATGTTTTTGTCTGAGTTTTCAATTTGTGAAATACTCTTCTTAAAATTAAAGTTGCATCAAATTGTATTTGTACAATTTCTTTGTTTTACAATTTCAAATATTTTGTATTGAGTTTTAAATATCATTTGCGATATGAAATGATGACAACTAATTTTGTGTTGAAAGTTTACACATGGAAATCTGTAATAATGTATAGTGTCTCATGGCTTCTCAGCATGTCTTTAATATCGTGTATTATTCCTATGTAGTTGAAAGTGACATGTGTCTTAAGAGAGTATTCGTAATTGTTTCTACTTAAAAAACTACTTTTAAATTGATTTTAGAGAATGTGTTTAATGGTCAAAGAAGATGATGTTAGAGGAAAACAGTTTTGAAAAACGTAAAAGTTGATACTTGATAGTGGTTGATGAAGATGATTTTTATGTATTACAAAATGTGAAGTTGAAATCCCTTCTTCACTTGCTTTGAGCTTTCAACATTAAAGTGTTTAATTTTAATAAAATTTCACTTGGAGATACCAATTCCAGTTTTTTTAAAACAAAAATTGAAAATTAAATTTTGAAATGTTTTACAAATATCCCCTAAATAACATGAAACCACATGTACCATATATAAACAAGAAATTGTCCTAAATAAGAGTAAAAATAATGTGAAATTCCAAAATTGGAGTATTATACGAAGTATTTTTATTCGATAATATAAGTAATTATTGTCATGTTTGAAGATAATTACCTTCGTTCTGCTTAAAGATTCTCAATATGAAATGACACAATGATTCATACAATAATTAAATAAGATAATCTCAATATATTTTGAGAAATAGTTTTAATGCATATATAAAATAATGAGATGATTGAGGATAATTGTGATGTTATATGCATATTATTTTTAATATTTGATGATTAAATTATATGACACGTTCATAAAAGGAAAGTGGGAACCATATAATGGGACAGATGGATATCATTTAGAAAAAATACTGTTTATATTATTTTTATTCATATTTTGGGAATCCTACCTAATTTAAATAATCATTTATTAAAATTTAAAATGGGTATGCTATTGAGTTCAGGTAAACAAAATTACTTGTGATCCATTCCATTAACAGATCTACACACGTACTATATATTGCGTATATGATTTCAAAATAACTGTAAATGCTAGTTTTTGTTTAAGTCGGAACATGGTAAGCCAAATGTAACCGATATAAAGGTAGTTCCGTAGTTGTAACTGCTTTCGATTAAACAAATAACTAATGAGGGCATCTCTCATCATCATACGCCACAAGTAAATAGGAGGCCTGGCCTTTTAGAACTTCACAAGTTCACAAAAAGGAATACGAAAAAATAGACACCTTAACCGAGCTTTAATTTCCAGTCCACTGGAAGCAAGGTTACCGCGTCTAGCTAAGGTCTCGGGTTCAATTCCCGCTAGACACATTTAGGGGAGAGGAGGGGGTCTTGCTCCCAGGGATGAAAAATTCAGGCTCGGGTTCGCGTGGTGACGAGGCTGACTGTGATCATATCCGGATTACTCGTCTAGAAGGCTTTGGAGGGTAGTCAATAGACTCCAGGATTGGGAGCGCAACCACCAACACCTGGATCATAAAAAAAAATAGACACCTTTCCATATACCAACTAACACACTGCATTGTAGCCTTGGAAACTCTCCCACTTTCTGGGATGCATCAAACGTCCAATTGTCCAAACCCATCCAACATTACCGGAAGCCAAACTTGGTAGAGAGAAAGAGCAGCATTCATTCACCGTACCCACGAATATACTTATATACCCAACGCATCTACCAAATCACCCAACACAGTAGCCGCTGATAAAATTGATATGAAATAAACTGATAAAGTTCATAATGTGTAATTAGAGAAGAAAGTGGAAGAAATACTACACTGAACATTGAGGGTGCGTGCATGCCTACTTATATTACAAGAATAGTGATAATGTGTGATAGGAAAGAGAGAGATACATGCATGTATGGCCCATGCAATATACATGCATATGTGTTCACGCATGAGTGTACTAGAGTGAGGTTACAACACATGTGGTCTAATAATAATATAGAGTTTGTGATAATATTCAATACTCCCCCTCAAGGTGGAGTGTGAAGGTCACAAACACCCAACTTGCTCCGGAGAAATTGAAATCGATCTGCACCGAGCGTTTTTGTAAAAATGTCTGCTACTTGATTGACCGTGTGTATGGAATATGGCTGAATTTCTTTACTGGCAACACGCTCTCTGACAAAGTAACAATCCATCTCCACATGTTTGGTGCGTTCGTGAAATACAGGATTAAGTGCAATGTGACGTGCTGCTTGATTATCACAGTAAAGAGGAGTGGGACTCGTGTGGTTGATTTTAAGATCTCGGAGTAGCCACCGTAGCCATAATATCTCACTAACTGTGATGGCCATGGCACGGTATTCGGCTTCTGCGGAAGAACGAGAAACAACAGATTGCTTTTTCGTGCGCCAAGATATTGGGGAACTACCAATGGTGATAAAATATCCAGGAACGACGCGTGAAGGGACATCCTGCCCAATCAGAATCACAATAGCCTTTCAATCCGAAGTCAGAATCAGACGACAAAAATATGCCTTGGCCTGGTGTTTGTTTCAAGTAGCGCAAGACATATGTGGCTGCATCGAGGTGGGTTTGGCGTGGATTGCTGAGAAATTGACTGAGTTGACTAACAGAGTAAACAATATCTGGGCGGGTTACCGTGAGATATAATAATCGGCCAATCAATCTTCGATAGGAAGAGGCATCCACTAGTGGGCTGTTATCGTCTGGTCGAAGTTTCAAATTTTGCACCATGGGAAATGAGCTGGGGCGTCCCGCTAGAAAACCACTTTCCTCTAAGATGTCGAGAGTGTATTTCCTTTGACTTAGAACAAAACCATCAGGAGAGCGAGCAACTTCGATTCCAAGGAAGTATTTTAATTTTCCCAAGTCTTTGATACTAAACTGCGTGTCCAAGTAACCCTTGACGGTGGAGATATGAGTGGCGCTGTTTCCGGCCAAAATGACATCATCAACGTAAATAAGAGCGAAAGTGGTGATTGAACCTTGTTTGAAAATAAATAAAGAGTGATCTGCCCGGGACTGGCGAAAACCTATGCCATGAAGAGCTTGAGTAAATTTTTTATACCAGTTGCGGGAAGCTTGACGTAGTCCGTATAAGGATTTTTGTAACTTGCAAACACGAGTGTCTCCAATCTTAAGGAAACCTTGCGGAATACGCATATAAACATCTTCAGAAAGATCTCCGTGAAGAAATGCATTGTTTACATCAAGTTGGTGCACTATCCAATTGCGTTTGGCTGCAACGGCTAGTAAGCATCGCACCGTGACAAGTTTTGCCACCGGTGCAAATGTGTCATGAAAGTCAATTCCCTCAACCTGAGTAAATCCTCTAGCAACCAATCTAGCTTTGTAGCGCTCTATATCGCCATTAGGTTTATATTTAATTTTATACACCCATTTAGAGTCCACAACTCTTTTTCCCGGTGGTAACTGGACTAGGGTCCAAGTGTTATTTTCTTCCAAAGCAGTAATTTCTTTTTGCATGGCCGCTCTCCATAAAGGATCTTGTACAGCCTGTTTGAAATTTTTTGGCTCATCACGTGAAGTGATGGCTGCTAAATATGCTTTGTGAGTAGGTGTAAATTTATCATAATTAATAAAATTAGAAATAGGATATACCATCGAGTGAGCTGATTGATTAGTGGTTCGCGAACGGTCTAGCGAGGGGGGCAAATCAGTCTCATAATCTTGTAGGTGCTTCGGACATCTTCTAATTCTTTCACCTCTTTTTGGTTCATTTTGAGGCACAATGATATTATTAGGAGCATTGACTGGAGATTGTACGTGACTAGACCCCTCTGGCTCACAGGTTGGATGTATGCTTCCATCCAAATAAGTTCTGCCTTCCATGCCTTCCTGTGTAGGACCCCTTGTACCTGCTTGTTGGTGATGCTCCACTTGTGAGTTCCCACCCAAAACATTAATGCTATTATTAGGGAGATTTGCTATACTCGTTGGAGATCCACTTATCACCCTCTCATCTAGGAACTGTTGTCGGCCATTGGTATCCACGCTCACCGCACCAGGGATGCAATTATTTTTATCTCCATTCGTTGTTGTGGGCCCTGTTGTCTTTTCTTGTTCTAGGAGCTGTGCGGAGCTGCTGTGTGCGTCCAAAAAATGCTCACTGACATGTGTTCCTGTGGACCAACTCTCCTTTCGAACAACTGTTGGCCCCTCTCTTTGAACGAACGGCTGAGCTTCAGTGTTGGAGTCCGATCGGTGAAATGAATCACAGAAAGGTGGACAATTTGCTGTAGAGTTTTGATTTAACAATTGCTGGTATACTCGATCAATCAGAATACCAAAATCCATTTCCTTATTTTCAACATTTTTGAATGGAAAATTGTCTTCAAAAAATGTTACATCTCGAGAACTATATACGGATTGTTTTTGTAAATCAAAAACTCGATAAGCCTTTTGTCCATATGGGTACCCAATAAATATACAAGGACTCCCCCTTTCACTGAATTTATCTTTTCTTTTATTATCGTGTGCATATACTAAACACCCAAACACCCGTAAATGGTCATAATTCGGCACTTTCCCAAGCAACATTTCAAAAGGACTTTTGTTGAAAATAACGGGTGAGGGAAGCCTATTTATGATATAAACAGCAGTCAAAATGCATTCGCCCCAAAAATCAATAGGTAATCCAGATTGAAAACGCAAAGCCCTCGCAATTTCCAATATATGTCTATGCTTACGTTCTACAACTCCATTTTGTTGTGGTGTGTCTGTACACGATGTTTCTAATAATATCCCAGTGCGTCCATAATAATCAATTAAATTGTTGGTTTGAAATTCTACACCATTATCAGCTCTTATCCGTTTGACCTTTTGCTCAAATTGAGTATAAATCATGTTGCAAAATTGAATTAACAACTGAGATACTTCAGATTTATTCTTCATTAAATAAACCCACACACCTCGAGTGAAATCATCAACAATAGATAAGAAGTACCGTGCACCGGAGATTGAATCGCACCGATAAGGTCCCCAAATATCGCAGTGTATCAATTCAAAGCAACGAGTTGTCTTAATGGCACTTGTAGGGAAGGGTAATCTAGTTTGCTTAGCTCGGACACAAGGATCACAAAAATCATTAGTTCGTTGAAATCCTTTGAGTGAACTAATGTGATGTATCTTTCCGTCGGAAGCGTGACCCAAACGTTGATGCCATAAATCAGAGGTAATGGAAACTGACATTGCCACCCCCTCACTCCTCGAGCACTCCAGATAATAAAGACCATCACGGAACTTACCACCACCAATCAGCTTTCTCGAGGATAAGTCCTGAAAAATACAAAAATCGGAGAAAAAAATCAATGCACAATTTAGATCGCTAGTTAGATGACTAGCTGAAAGTAGGTTGCATTGAAATTTTGGGATGTATAGGACACGTTCAAGACGGAGCCCATTGGGTAAGTATAAACTTCCGACAGCAAGAACTGAAACTGATTCTCCGTTAGGAATTTTAACTGAGGATTTTGGCACAAGACTAACAATATTAAAAAGATTGACGTCACTACAAGTGATATGCTCAGTAGCTCCGGAATCAATTATCCAAGGATGAGCATGTGGAAATTTGTATGCCATATCTACATTGGCACTACAAGAGAAAAATTAAGAGAACAAAAAAAACTAGATTTTTTGTTTCCAGGATTTCAGCTCTGATACCATGATAAAATTGATATGAAATAAACTGATAAAGTTCATAATGTGTAATTAGAGAAGAAAGTGGAAGAAATACTACACTGAACATTGAGGGTGCGTGCATGCCTACTTATATTACAAGAATAGTGATAATGTGTGATAGGAAAGAGAGAGATACATGCATGTATGGCCCATGCAATATACATGCATATGTGTTCACGCATGAGTGTACTACAGTGAGGTTACAACACATGTGGTCTAATAATAATCAAAAATTCTATAGGTACCCCAAATTGTACCCCAATTTGTACCCACCCCCCTGAATTGCCTGTGTACACAGGCAATTCGTTTGAAAGAGGGCAGAACTTTCTACCCAAATGTCTGTGTACACAGACGGTGTACACTTTGGGGTACAAATTGGGGTACCCCAAGCAGCTCTCAATAATAATATAGAGTTTGTGATAATATTCAATAGCCGCACCTTCGTAACACTCCCATAGCTATTCCGGTTTTGGGCTACTAGTTCGAGGAACCGGAGAACATAAAATAAAATAATAACAAAACACAAACGTCTTAACTACCTTTCAAAACCCTTACGTTTTAAAACCTACATTTCACCACACGTAAAAATAAATGTGGACACAATTTAAATTCGTTTCTCCATTGTGAAATTTGAATTTTGATTATTTTACCAATAATTAATGAGATCATTAAAAATACAAATAAAAGAAATAGATTAAATACGAGTAATTGATGTTGACACTGAGATCATTTTTACGGTGTTTGACTGACGATAAAACAACTCGATACATGTTCACACTGAGATTATTTTTAGTCAATAAAACTTATATGTTCAGAAATTACATTGAAAAATTTATGAAACTTGATCAAGAAAATTAAAATTTGATAAAATAATTTATATATAAAGCAAAAGGTGAGGAATGATTTAAGTTGACCAAATGAATAGTGAACAAGATGTTGACAGAGGTAGTACAAACAAAAGATTCAGCATACATACGTGTATCACATTCCAAAATATGGATTCCCTAGGCATGATCAATTCACGATCCTTATTCATGTTCATCTTCGATATATGCTTTGATTTTTTTGATAAATTACAAATTATGAATTAAAATTTAAATTTAACTATGATAAATTAAATATTGCTATTAATTAGTTCTCTAAATTATAAGGCGGTATTCATAATTTTTAATATTTGAAATTGTTCATCGACGTGACTGGCTTCTCCGTTAACAAACTGAATAGTTTAACACCAGTATGAAATATTCTTTCATTTTATTTTACGTATATTACATTCCACATTTTGTCAATCATCTTTTATTAAATAAAATGTTCTCCAATATTTTTATTGAACGCCTCCAATATAAATTTAAATCATATTAGTTAATCATCTCTTATTAAATTATTTAAATATTCTTATCATCCTTTTTTTATACTCCAGGGGGTCGGGAGGCTGGGGGGCCTGGAGTAATCAGGGCTGAAACTCACTACATTGAGTTTCAAACTCTTATGTGGCTAGCGGGATTCGAACTCCTTCCACTAGGTATACCTACGATAACTTCGCAACCAGCTGAGTTGGAATGCTTGGTTATGTTCTTATCACCCTAATACGTTGAAATATAAATGGAAACACACCATAATAAGTGTAGTATGGTAATATAAAGTTTTTCGACATTATAAGGGCATCTCCATCCATGAGATTATTAGAGGATTAAGTTGGTGATGTGGCGGATTAATTTTGGGATCATGGTTGGGTGATGAAGATTATTTAGTGAGATTATTTGAAAAAATAATCCGGGATTGAAATATGAATCCAGATTATTTCAAAATCATTGTTAATCTAGTATTAATTGGTGAGTAATGGACCCGCAAAAAATCTGATTATTTTGAGATGATGAATGGTGTGATTTCAAAGGTGTGAGATTATTTTGAAAAAATCTACGTGTCACAAAAAAATCTGTTTATTTAAATATCATGAATGTGGATGCTCTAAGAAGTTTTCCAGATGTACATAATTAATGATTCCACACGCTTAAATACATAAGGAGTACAAGTTTGGTATTCTTACCATTCAAATATTTTTACCATCATAATAAGTGGTATGATAATAGGAGTTTTTCGTTCCTATCTAGCTTCATACAAATTTAATGCTTCCACAAACTTAAATAAATACTACGTAGTATGTATAACATATATCGCTAATTTCAGAATGGATTTTTTTTTCAAGATCTACAAAGTAGGGTATTCCACAAACTTAACTCTATCAATATATACCCATCACATATTAAATCATACACGAGCAGAGATAGTCTGAAGATACTCATTTGTTCAAAAGAAAATTGGTTCTTTATCAAAACAGTCAATGTTGTTTATAAAGACGTTTTTAAAACCTAACAATGTGATATTTTAAAACCTAACAATGTGATATCTTATGTCTTTGGTGTTAGACAACTCACACGTATATATTTTACAATGTCAACTTTTTTTTTGTTTCTCTTTAATTAAAATTCTACTTGTATTTCTTCTCTACTTTTAAGTGTGTGTGTGTGAGAACTGTTCTAGCAACCTTCATTATGCACCTCGAGGCAACACTTGGGTAAAACACTAGTAGAATAATAAAATAATAAAGAAGGTAAACTAGACAACAAATAGATTTTTAAATCCCTAAAGAAAAAGTAAAAATAAGTTGAGTTCTGAAAAGTGAAAACGATAAAAAGGATCAACCTTTACCGAGAAGTGCAAGATAGGGCCAGGACTTTGAAATCAAGAACCGGAGAACTGAACCGGACCGCACCGTTATGACCCGGTTCGGTGCGGTTCCATAATTTATTAGTTATTTGTTAATGGTTCGGTTCTTACTTTTTTTTATTAAAGGTCCGATTCTCAGCTCTTGAAAAAAATATGTATATGGAACCATTATATATGATAATTAAAAATATATATATTTCTTATTAGTATATATATTTTAATGTGTATTTACTTATCTATTTTTATATTACATTCACTATTTTAGTTTAGTTATTCAACTATTTAAAATTATTTTTCATTTTAACCGGTTCTCTAGGGCCTCTTTAGCGAATATATTGTTTTGTTTTGTTTACTAAAATACGCAGTTTGTTATGCATTTTATGTTTTAAACTCAACTTTTGAGGTTTGAAATGATGTTCAACATATTTGTATTATAATTTCAAACGTTTTGAATGTCTTTTTGACACAAATTTAACCGTGATTTGTAAGAATTTTTTTAAAGATTAGGAACCGTTAAATGACAAGAACCGAACCGTTAAGAATGGTTCGGTTCCTTATGAGTTCTATCAAATAATTTATAAGAATTGAACCGTTAGTAAAATTTCATATTTTCAAACAGTTTTACAAATTTTGCCTAGGAACCAAACCGGTCCCAGGCCTAGTGCAAGATCGAACAAGGCATTAAATTAAAACTACGATGCGTTACTGTGCAAAAGAGTGAAGAAGTCATCAACCAAGCATTTCAACCCAGTTGGTTGTGATGTTACCGTGCCTAGTGAGAGGTCTCGAGTTTCAGCCATGATTACTCCAGGCTCCCCCAAGCCCCCCAGACCCCCTGGAGTAAAAAAAAAAAGTGAAGAAGTCATCAGCAAAATCAAAATCTCCAACTTCGGAGTTCAAAAGAGGAGGTTAATACTTTGCACTCCACTTTAGTCGGAGTATATAATTATCTAAGGCTTAGAGATGTAATTTGTTTTTAAACATGTAATAAATTAAATAAGCAAACGATTGATCCTAATTTATAAAAATCTTAGTACACAGTACAGTTAAAATCAACTAGTCTTTCACCCGTGCGTTGCACGGGATAGAAAAATGATTACAAAATATTTATGAAATAAGGGCTTTGAGCTAAATATTGCTAAAAAGTAGAAAATGGACAAAGAAGATATTGGAAAATTTCCAAAAATGTAATTAAGGTACACTTCGTATTAAACTTACTAACTTTACCTTGATGATTTTAACTACCTCAGTGACTTAACTCGATGCTAATCACCGCATCAGTGACCGTTGTCACTGGTACCTGGTCACAATGACCATCTTCCACCCCGTCAATGACCATCTGTTCGTGTCCACCGGCCACCCTATCAGTAGCCGCCACCACTCAGTCAATGACCTGTCACCCTAGCCGGTGACCAAATGCTCCTCCCAAACCACTACCCCAACCCCTATCCATCAGTGTTATCCTTGCCCCCGCCCCTACCATCCTGACAAAAACAAAAATGGAGAAATAAGGTGAATCGCTATTGTAGGTCTAAACAAAAAGATTTAGACAAAAGGAATACCGGTAGAAAATCCAAATTAATTCATTACAGGAAACAAAAGGTGCCCCTACAGACAAAAAATCCAGTTCAACGATGATGTACATAATTCGATGTCAGTTTTCTAAAAAATCTGCATTAATTCTCTTAGTCCAAGAAGACATTGCCATCTGCTGTCAAATTCAAGCTATGAGTCATCAGATGATGAAGGTCCTCACTGGATCCACAAAACTCGCACTTGGAAAGTGAAGCTTGCGCTAGACCAACAAAGCTCGTCGCTAGATCAACATTGTTTTCCGCCAAATTGATGAAGCTCATCGGCCATTGATACAGACACTCATTGCTATTGGAGGTGCTAGTTCAACGTGGAGAGGATGGACATAGGTATTTCCTTAAGCGTCAGTGTAGATGCTCGCCAATGCAACGTTGAGAAGATGGCCAGTGGAACACCATTGGAGAAGATGCACAAGCTGCCATAGAACCCGTGAGATCAGAGAGGAACTACAAAGTTTACCTTAACCTTCAGATTGGCTACAACCCTACCTGTCACAATAATTAGTAGAAACAGCACCACTATCTTTAAAAATTGATCATGAGTCCAAGAAAATGTTGCACTGAACCCAAATGAAGTTGTTAAATAGTAATTTGAGAGTCACCTGCTCCCCTTCCCGCCTCCCGGTCCTGCACAATGTAATATAAGTAACCCCACATGCATTACTAATTTACAGATGCATTACTAAACATTTACTCTGGGAATCAACATAATTTAAAATTGACCCCAATAAGGTACTCTCTCTGTCACCATATCTGAAAAAGTAAGTTAGAATGAAAAAGTTATACGAAATTATAATAGTTAAAGTACTAACAACCAACAAAATGTAAGCATAACTGTAAGTCCAAAATATATACTTCGTACAACACAAAGACGTTATATGATTGCACGATCACACACATAATTCAATATGAGAGTTCAAACGCACAAACAAAATCATCCTCGCTTAAAGGCCCTTCAGAAGAATAGCAAATTCTTATAGCGTTATCACCACCATCCCTTCCAGGCTTCTATCATCACAATCAAAATTCTTCCACTCTCTTGAGCATGAGGTTTCTAGAAGAAAGGCAACGACTTTGTTTTCACTTTGTAGTAGTGCTTCTTTCTCTAATCTAACTTCCCAAATATCAAATATGCTTTTCATTTCATGTGTCACTTTACTGAGTTAATTAGATATAGATACGAAGTATTTATTATCCATATAAAGTATATACAAATTAGTTTGGGTAATAAATTTTAGAATTTCAAAAACACCTCTATGACCCTCTACAGATTCTATAATCCATTATAATCTAACAGCAAAATGAAAGAGGGTATGCTTTTCCCGCTCGGAAATGTCGCTGTCACAAGTCTAGGACTAAAACCTTATTAAATGGAGCTTAATGGAGGTTTAAAAATAGGATGTCTTGATTTTGAGCGGATGGAAAGATAATATAGCTTGAGATGTGGTGATAAGAAGTTCAGTTACTGTTGGGATTTCGTGTGGATCTAATGGCCTGATTTTTCATTGGTCAATTTTTTGAGGTGAGCTGTCGAACAGTGTTTTTGGATATCTCCAGGATTTTCCAGTCACGTAACTTGATTTTCATTGGATCCTTTTTAGAATAAACAGTGCCTATTAATTGACAAGTGGGCTGATAATGATGTTTATTACTCTGGAAGGATATCTCGAACAAGATCACGCAAGGTTTGAAATTCAAATTTTTGTGAACAGTTTTCCCACCCATTTCATTTACGGTTTCCATTGGTTGGGTGTGTGGTGCAAACAATTCTGTGGGGAATGCACATGGTTCTCTAGCTATAAATAGGGCAACATCTGTGTCCCAATCTTCACAACTCAAACCCAGCAAAATACAGAACACACAAGCATTAATTCTTAAACATGGTTGGTATGTGGTCCTTATTCCGGGAGATTGACCAGAGCAAGACAACATGGGCAATCAAAGCAAGGGCGATAAGAGTGTATCGTGAACCTGCCCATGACTGCTTCCCAGAATCATTGGAGGTTGTTTTCCATGATGAAGAGGTTTGGACATTTATAATTCAATATGATCTACTATTATTTATTTATTCGGCTAGGTTCTGTGTTGACGTTTTGGTAAATTTCAGGGGTCCAAGATGCATGCGCACATCCCGGACCAGTTCGTCAACAAGTTCATTGGCATATTTAAGGAGGGATGTGTGTTTGCAGTTAAAAACTTTATGGTTGAGGAGAACTACATGTTCTTTAAAACTTCAACAAGTGCCTATAGGCTCTGTTTTTTTAACAAAAGTGCTGCATTTGAGATCAGGGGAGTACCATTCCCCATAAGGACTTTCTCATTGGTGTCTTTTGCTACATTGCAAGCCCAAGACAACATCGATGAGAAATGTGGCATTGGTAAGCTAATAATTGACCTTTACAAATGCTTATTAAAAGTGAATATGACTGCACTAGATCCACTCATATCGTTTATCTATCCAGACCTTATAGGCCAGGTTGTGCACGATAAGGACCCAAAAACAATTTTAAAGAATGACAGGCCCAGAAAGTTGATGGAGATGGTTCTGGGAGACCCGGAGTGAGTTGCTATTCTATTTATTGACATAATGGACACTATGGTCTACACGTTAGTGTTTTAGATGTTTTTTGAAATTTATATAAAATAAAATAAAAATTATACGCAGTGGAAATGTGATCGCATGCACCCTCTGGGGACCGATGATTGAGATGCTCTTGACACACAAGCTTACAACATCGGATCCAATTGTTATGCTACTGCAGTGTTGCAAAGTTAGAAAGTACCAAGGTTATCATCACACCTATCCCCTTTTAGGTTACTTTGATTAGAATATCTGACTCAATTAGAGATTTAAATTAGGTCAAGTTCATGTTTCGAACATGTTCAACACTACCAAAGTCATTTTAAACGGGAGTGAGGAAGAATTTGTTGAATTCAAGTCAAGGTATTAGTTTTTTTTGAATTAGTCATTACTGAATTCAAATGCTAAAAAACAGCTATCCATGTCATTAACTAGAAAAAATAAATCCAGGATGGCTGAAAGGTCCAATAAGGGACTTAGGTTTTCAATAACAATGGACAACTCAAATGATGGGGACATAGCCACTGGGCAGCAAGATTTAATCACTCTTGAGGCTCTTACAAAACTGCAGGAGGCAAGTGTATTCTAATTTTAATTTGAAAGAGGTAAAAACTACAATTTCACTTCATTTTCTATGGGACAAACAGGATGGGAGGCACTGGGTTTACGGAGAAATTGTGGCTATAGACAGCCATAAGGACTGGTCCTATGTTTCTTGCATCGGTTGTAACAGGAAGGTTTCACCTAACGGGGATAACTTTTGGTGTGTCTCTTGCAGTTCAAATGATGCTGTTCTCAGGTTTTTAATCTACAAATCAAATTGTTTCTTTTTTTTTTCACTTTTAGAATTGTTAAAAATGATATCTTTAATGTAATCAGATTTAAGGTGAATGTTCGGGTTGTTGATGGCACAACGCATGCCTCCTTCTTGCTTTGGGATAGGGAGGTGTCATGCTTGCTGGGGAAGTCTGCAGCATCACTTAAAGAACAAATATCTAGGGTATGTGTTTATCCTAAGGCTATTTTCTTAGTTTCTTTTATATGGTGAACTAACCTGTAAGCATATGCAGAGGAACTTTGGACCACATTACTTCCCATCTGAGATAAATTCGCTCATTGACATAAAGGCTTTGTTTAAAGTGCAATTCAAAAGAGAAAGCGGGAGTTTTAAGGGAAATCAGACTTTCAGCGTTATAAAGATGAACACTGACCCTAAAGTTCTAGCACTTTACTCATCTAGGATAAATGCTGTTGAGGTATGATTTTATTTCATTTAGCAAATAGCATAGGCAAGTTCTCTGCTACATTTTTTATGACTTATACTTTCAGGAGGAAGATGAGTTCACTAGACTGGCTAAGGAGTTTTCAGGGCCTGAGAGCGTGGTATTTTCTCTAAATATTTGGTTAAATCCTACCAATAAATCTGGCTACTCAGAAAATCGTGTTTTTTTTCAGGCTGGATCATCACAACCATCTGTGTCCAGCCCACTTCTAACCAAGGAGAAGAGGTACGCTTTAGATGTGGACACTCAGAAGCTGAAATGTAACCTGTTCGGAGAATTTGAGGCTTCGACATCTACAAAGAAGCTCAGAGGGATGAAAAAGGAATGAAGATCATGCGTCAATCTATGTTTACTAGACATGTTGTCTATGTTATGTTACTTATGTGTGGCAGTGTTTATCTGTGTTTCATGTAACGTGTGTATAATAAAGGCAGCTGTGGCTAACTGCTCCCTTGACCCTCTATGGTTTGTTTTGGGCAAATGTCTTTCTGATTGACATGTTTTTACGCTACGGACTCCGCCATAAGAGAGTACCGATAATATGTAATGGAGACGCATTTCTATATAAAATATTTATTAAGTTAGACCCTTTGACTTTTGAGTTTTTGGTTGTTTGCGTGAGAATTCTATAATCTTACTTTTTGGGCATCTTATGGCAACGACCTAAGGTCCATATGGTTAGTTTGGCAGAACAGGGTTAAAAATTTCAGCCAAACAAATTTATGCATACTCTCAGCTATTGGGTTATACACAGTTTGTGTATCCGACCCATGTACAAAATTCTGCACCAGGTTTGGAAAAGTATGCCTTCTTTGTTTAAATTTATATTTTGCATGGGATGTTTGTGCATATTTGGTTTGTAAATAATGCAACAGGTATTACCGTTAAGATATTGACGAAAGTATATGAAGACGTACCTGTTATCTCTCCCTGTTATCTCTCGGATGACCATGTGTTGCCCTACATCTACCCTAAATCTATTTATTACATTTACAGACCCAGGAATCAAACTAAATTATAAAACATGAAATAGATGATAGAGGGTTCCTTCAACAGCAAAATTTGGGTAGCATCCACTAAATTCCTGCAAGTCCATAGTTCGAATCTGCATTAGAAATGAACAATGGTTCTATTCAGTGTATGTAAACCTTTGAATAATCATGGTGTGAGGAAAATTTCTGTTTGAGTTCTTCAAAGAATAATAACTCATGTGAGAGGTGCAAGACAGGAAATTGATTTTATCACCCAATGTCCCATACATCACCGCCCTGAATGGCTGCCATATGTAAGGCAATTAGTATCTGCTAGGCAGCTCTTATTATCCCATTTTTAAATTGAAACGGTTGGGGGCCTGGCATAATAGTATGCATATTCACACTTGCAGATTACATAACAGTTGTCTATCCCAATACTAAAAATTTTAATAATCATGCTGTGACAAGAAAAGTTGTATTTGAATTCTTCAAATAATAATGTCATGAGAAAGTTTGAGCGCAAAATATGTATTTCATCAGCCAATATACCGTATTTCACCCCCTCGAATGCCCGGGATTTGTAAGGCAATTAGTTTAACCTAGCAGTTCCTATTATCGCAATTTTTAGAAATACAAGCATTCTGGCGCAATAATATTCACTGTTGCAGAATTCATAATACCTGTCCAACCTAATACTACAAATTTTAATTAACCTGATTTGAAGTAAACAGTTATGTTAGAATTTTTACATAAAAATTAAGTCATGAGAAATGTTGAAAAATTAACCTGATTTGAAGTAACATTTCACCCGACAATATCCAATACATCACCCCCCTGATTAGCTGGCATATATAGGCAATTAGTTTGACCTGGGCAGCTCTTATACTCACATTGTTTTTAATATTTACTACTGCAGACTTAATAATAGGTGTTTGTTCTATTTTTAAGCATGTTCTTTAGTAACAGTTTTAAATTCTGTCGATTGTAAGAGCGCATGGTCAGTAAGTGTTTAATCCCCAAATTTAAACATGTTCAACAATGCATTCAATAATTTTCAGATCATTAAATAATTTAAACTGGGGATGAATCATGTCTGATACATACTTAGGTTGCAAAATTACATTTAAATGTGGTTATTTTAAAATATATTTTTTCTTATTTTGACAATCTGAATTAACCTGATCCGCCCATATATCATATTGGTACCAATAAAATAATTTTGAAAGGATGTTGACCGAAGTTTAATCATTGAAAATAATGTAATTATTTGTTAAATCTATGTCTGGGCCTTGGATTTTTTAATCGGCAGATGGGTTTGTTTGTTAGACCAAATATTATCTTAAAATAAAAAAATTAAAGGAGGTACACAAAATAATGAAAACAGTGCTGCCCAGATTTGGAGAGTTTAGTTCTGCGGTAAATATTTGGACACATCTCACAAAATCTTCCAAATCTGACTCTGGAAATTGTGCTTTTACATGATTGGTTGGTTTTAAAATGGTTAACAATGCTTTTAGAGAACGAATGGTGTTGGTTTTGGGTTAGTGGAGGTAATGATTGTGTTTCACTGTTTTTGGGTTGCATTTTTTGGTAATGTCATACCAATTGCACTACGTATTAACCCACTAAAAGCAGACTTAAAATAATAGGTGTCTGTTCTATTTTTTAGCATGTTCTTTAGTAACAGTTATAAATTCTGTCGATTGTAAGAGGGCATGGTTAGTAAGTGTTTAATCCCCAAATTTAAACATGTTCAGCAATGCATTAAATAATTTTCAGATCATTAAATAATTTAAACTGGGGATGAATCATGTTTGATACATACTTAGGTTGCAAAATTACATTTAAATGTGGTTATTTTAAAATATATTTTTTCTTATTTTGACAATCTGAATTAACCTGATCCGCCCATATATCATATTGGTACCAATAAAATAATTTTGAAAGGATGTTGACCGAAGTTTAATCATTGAAAATAATGTAATTATTTGGTAAATCTATGTCTGGGCCTTGGGTTTTTTAATCGGCAGATGGGTTTGTTTGTTAGACCAAATATCATCTTAAAATAAAAAATTAAAGGAGGTACACAAAATAATGAAAACAGTGCTGCCCAGATTTGAGAGTTTAGTTCTGCGGTAAATATTTGAACACATCTCACAATATCTTCCATATCAGACTCTGGAAATTGTGCTTTTACATGATTGGTTGGTTTTAAAATGGTTAACAGTGCTTTTAGAGAACGAATGGTGTTGGTTTTGGGTTAGTGGAGGTAATGATTGTCTTTCACTGTTTTTGGATTACATTTTTGGTAATGTCATACCAATTGCACTACGTATTAACCCACTATAAATACCACTTGGTTAAAAGCATTTACCATTGTGAAAACATCGATTTCTTCCTCTGTGAAAGTAATTGGCTTCACTTCTTCACTGTCCTGTTTCTTCAGTCCCCTGCATCAAGATGTGTAAAGTCAAAGGTTAATAACTCCAACTCAGCTTATTGAATTGATTTTAATTACATAACATAAGAAATCATCAAATACATTTTTGCTTAAAATACTGGTGTGGATTGTTTATGTTCAACCTGTCTCCTTTTTTTAAGGCATTAATTTATTGTGATGATGACAACTGCAAGAAATTTGAGTCATTTTTGAGTGATTTAGGTGGAGGTGTGGATGCTGGTGGTTTCATAAAACAGTGTGAAATCTGTTATGCACTGGGACATGGTGACGACATGTTTAGCCTTGGGTGTGCATGTAATTTGTGGTATTGTCGTCGATGCGACGCCTTCTATGGTCTCGGCTTTCTGCGTGAGGGAATCCCTTTCACTATGCTCTCACCCGCGGTTCTTTCGCGTAGATTCGGTGCTCATAATCTCCAGTGGTTCGTTGAAGGTGCTGGGGAGTCTTCGGTCGTTAAGAGCACCTGTGTGGGTGACAAGGTTCTCCCACGTCGTTCCGCACGTGCTGTCCGTTTGAATAAGATGTACTTTGGGGGAGACTTTGTTGTTGATTCTGATTTCGGCTGGCTGACTGCAGCTTAATGAGCTGATCTATTGGAAATAATAGGTCTATTATGCACCTAATGTTTGCCTGGCTGACTACAGCTTAATGGCCTGCTCTATTCAAAATAATGGGTTGATTATGCACCTAAAGTTTGCCTGATGTTGCCTCCACTTATGTGCAGCACCCATGTATTTTGCCCACCCATCTAAAATATGAAATAACACCGTTGTGCAGCACCCATGTATTTTGCCCACCCATCTAAAATATGAAATAATATAATATTTTGCAAATATTTTTTGTCTTTTATAGTATATATTATATATTTTTTCTCTTTGTGGATACCGTACATCTTTGTGTACTCACGCAACTAAACCTGTTCTTAGGTAATTGATGCCAGGTTGAAGACTTTAGTGATGGTTAAGATAACTAAATCATGTGTGTTGGGATCCAAAAGATCCAACCCAGGTAAATCCTTACAACAAATAAAGCTTTGTAATGTTCAAGTACCAAATGTTAGGCATTCTACCTGGCATGCTATTTATACGTGTTGACTTAAAAGTGTTTAATTTGGAGTTGTTGTTTCTTTATTTATCTTGGAAAAGAATGGTTAATGTTTTCACTGTGTTCGTTAAAGTCAGTTACTGTATGGTGAAATGTTATTGATCAATGGAAGGTGCTACCATTTAGGCACCCTTCCTGACCTCTGCTTACCGGCAGATATAAACTGTCGGTGTAACCGTTGAGGAAAAAATTTAGTTGTTAGTAATTGTTCAAGTAATTCCACATGGATGCATTTAAATAAATAATGGCAGATCAGTAATTGATGACAAATGGTTTTACCAAATAACATTTTTCCAATTCTTCTTTGACCGTACGCAAATTGTCTTCTTCATTTTCTTGATATCTGTTGTGGTACAGAATGAAAAGAGGGTGAACCTTATTGGGCTAATGTTTCGAAGAGGAAATAACAAAAAATATTCTGGGTATAGATTTCACCTGTGGTGTTGATAGCCAGCTTCGGTGATGCGTGTCTGCTTTGGTGTTGTTTCTTTGACTCACCGTGTGCTATAAGCTTTATGTTGATACTTTGCCCCATTTCCTCGCATTCCATTTCACAAAAAAGATTTGAATTTAGGAGGTAGTGGAGGGTTTGGGTAAGAAATATTAACAGAGGATTTTTTATACGTAATAGGCAGTAGCGGATGGATTTTGATTCTTAGAAAAATAAGATGTTTATCTCCCTTTTATCGTGTCAAAGTGGTGGAAAGGTAGTGTGGTTGTAAATTAATAATGATGTTTGTTCTTATCACCAAAAGTTTTGATCAGCTCGAGATATGGTTTGGAGTTACGAGGCATTAAAGTCTGATGGGTGGGGCGGTTGGGGGGTGAGTACAGTTTTGGTATTAAATGTGAGGTAGTTGGCTTTTACAGATTTGAGTGGGTGGGGGTTCGGTCGGTGAGGGTATTAAATTATATCTGAGTGGGTGGGTTGTACGCACTTACTGATGTGGGTGGGTGTTTGAATTTTAAAACCTTTAATAATAAAGAAGGTGGGGCTGCTGCATTTAATGCTTGGTCGGTAAAGTGGTCTGGCCCAGACTTTCTTTTTGACTCTAGATCCTTCTCCATTTAATTATTGGGTACGACTTCAATCTGAAAATACGAAATACGATTATGATAAAAAAATGGATTCAAAATAATTTTTTTTAGAAAAAAATCGGCTTTAGTATGCTGTAGTTAATTTGGTAGTAAATGATTTAATGACAGTGGTTTACTAAACAAATAATAAATTAGCCGAAAATAAATTTACTGTATGTTTATTTTGCAAGAATTTTTTTTTCTGTGTTATGTTTTGAATAATGGATTAGACTGCGGTATGATTAAAACTTTTAAACACAATTGGAAAATCACAGCAAGTTGATATCTATCAATTGGTTTTTAAAATATAATGGTATTTTGATGATAAAAAAATAATCTAATTGTATTTTGGTTATATGTCTTCGATGAGAACGTTGTGTGTCGCTAAATTAACGAAAAAAATGTTTTGGACTGCGTAATTAAAAGAAGAATTTGTTTGAAAAGTAAATATTATTATTTTTATCCGGTGCTGTATAGCCCTTTTCTGGCAGTTTTTTTAAAATCGTCGGAAAAAATTGCTTCGAGGAAACAGAGTATTTCTGTTGTTTTTAAGTTCCTTTTTTATGATCTGTGTACTTTATTCAAAACAGAGTTTTCGAGTCATGAGAACGAGGTAAGGAATCTATAACAACTGTTTTAAAATGAAAGTGTTGTTTTGACAAAATAATCAAATGTTCAGATCTGATGTATTTTTCTTACAGAATAATCCATATAGCACTAAAAATACTTTGACGGCTGATGTTTTGCTCTCACAAACAAATAAATACTTTGACCGCCGATGTTTTGCTCTCACAAACAAATAAAGTATTAAAATAATCAGATCCGAAGGATTTGTGCGTTTTTCGGTAAAAATACGTTTTCGTTATGTTTGTGAGTAGAACAGGTTGTGTATGTGTGTTGTGTGTGCGTGCATGTGAGGGATCGGGTGTTACCTGAGTTTCCCGGTGTTGACCGTCGATATCCATGGCCTTCCTCGCTGCGTTCCGTTTTTTGGGTCGTAGCTACGGTTTTTCGAACCTGTTTTGGTGGCCGGAGTGCTGTTAGTGAGGTTTGAATCTCTTGAAATCCATGTGTGATTTCTTGAAATCTCTGGGGTCGTTGAAGAGAGAGGGAGGACCGATGACTGTCGGCGTAGTTTTAGGGCGAATCTGGAGAGGAATGCGGATGTGGCGTACGATATTAAGGTTGGGTTATTTGGGTCTGGATCTTTATTTCGTTTGGCCGGCCCATCCTTTTCCAGTCAATTACTTTTGGGCCTATTTTTTGTGGTGTTGTTCCAATCTGTAACTATATTGACATTTGCTTTTAATACTTTAGGTTTTTTATCTGAAACAATAAAATAATATATAATTTAAAAAATTAATTGGGAAAAATAAATGTTTCGGGAAGAAAAGAAAAAGTAACGTCTATCTTTAGAAGATGGAATTTTTCGACGACATTCGTGTCTGCAGGTCGCCCGCGCACGCAAGTCGCGGTTTTTCTTCTCCGAGTTCGGAATTTGATTTGCACCCCCCCTGCGCGCGTGGAGAGAGCCTTTACCCTTAAGAATCTTAACTCCATAAGGGGGGAGTCCCTTTATAAAGAGTTGCAAATCCCTTGGGTTTTCCGGTGTGGGAAATTAACACACTAGAAACTCATCCTTTTTCCCAGTTTTTTCAGTCTAACGGGTAAACTTCGAAAAGCGATTTCTCATTCACCCGTTATCCGTTTTGAGCGTACTATATATCGAATTGTAGCTCTTAACAAGGACAATCCGAAACCACTTTGACCCGACCCAAATCGGAAGTGGACCCCACTCAAAAAATTGCCCCAAAATAGCCATTTAATGTAATTTTCACACATTTTTCCAACAATGAATTCTCCATACTTCATTTTTGAATTAAACATTACCAACTTAGAATCCGTTTGGTAGCATCACAATCGGTTGTTTTGGCTGATTCTGCTGAAATATATGAAGTTCTAGCTGAAGTGGCTGCATTGGCTGATTTTGCTGTTTTAAGCAAAACAATTAAAATATATTTTATTAATTAAATATAGAAATAATTATATGTACAAAAATGCCTAAAATCGTCATCTATAGTAACTCCAGCCAATACAGTCAGAAAAATAACTCCAATTTTAAATTTTATACGTATTACACCAGTCAGCGCGTGAGAACAAAAGTTACGTGTTTGGTGAAAAAGTTGGCTGATAAACTCGATAAGCCGAAAAATAGTGTTGTCAACCGGCCTCTTAATATAAGAAATAATATTTGGACCATGATAGGGTGACATTAATCAGCCTGTATAAATTTATTTTGCTGATTGCGTAACTAAAACAAATTAATTTTAGTGAAGACATTATTAACAACAAAAGTATTTCAGTTTCATGACGAATAATTTTATTCATGAATGGTTTTGTAATTTTGACAAATTTTTCCCTTTTTAATTATAAAATTAGCACCATTGATTTACAAAATATAATGATATTGTAGGTAAAATTCGTGTTAGAACCTGTCTTTGTTTTAGGTTTGGGGTGTTCAAAAAATATACGGTTTTCATGTTTTTGTTCATTTTGCTTATTTTTTCCAGTTAATATTGATAGGGTTAAATATTTTATTGTGTATCACTATATACCATTAATTTCTTAGATATTCTATTGTTTTACAATTTGGCAATTCTTTCGTTGATTTTGGGGTGTGAATATGGGAAACTTTTGTATTACTTTTTGGAAACCCAATTATTCATTTTTGGAGAACCACAATTTTCTATTTAATGATTTCGGTTTGTGATTAAAGGTTTTAAAATTTGATTTAAAAATCCTCTATTCTAGGAAATATGGTTGTTTTGCTCCCATTTAATTGTGGATGATGTTTAATTGATATTAATATTAATTGGAACTTTAATATTTAAAATATAATTGTTGAAGTAACGTTTTCATCATGTAATATTCCATTAAAGATGAAGGTTTCATTTAAAGGCTTTTTTTGTTTTTTGTTTTTTTCTTTTCTTGGGTGTGCAATTGCGTAGCCGTTTCGGATGTCGAGGGAATGATGCCCCCTGCAAAGCAGCCTCAGCGTAATCCTATGTGCTCAACCTCGGCCGTTGTTATTGGTTCCATGGAATCTGGGAGAGTTTGGAATACCACTGACAAATATTTCAATTGTGGTAGTGTTGGAAAACAATTGTAACTGCATGCTTACTTATTTTTAAAATTTGATCTACTGCTATTTCTTTTTTGTGATATACTATTCTCACGTCTCTGTGTTGCTACTATTTGAATGGTGATCTTTTTAGGATATATAGGTTCAGAGGCTAGCAGTGTCAATCCTAATGCGTCGAGTTCTGCCCCATTAGTTTTGTCACCTATTCCTGAATTTGATGTAAGTTCGCTTGATGACAGTGATGTGGATGATGAGTTCGTTGACTATGAGGCGTTGCCTGCTCATACCAGCCGTAGGGCTGTAGGTGCGCACGAGTCAATTATTTTCGAATTACAATTTCTCCATAGTTGGTTACTATGCATTGACCATTGTTGTTTTTTGCAAATTGCAGAATATTTTGACATTGGTGATTCAACATTGGTGTGTGAGTTTTGTGGTGCTTTGTTTTGGTTTGATGAGCGTGTTATATCCACATCAACCAAAGATGTTCCAAAATACTCATTATGTTGTAGTCAAAAAAAGGTTGTGCTCCCTTTTATGAAAGAGCCACCTTTATTGTTGACTCAATTGATTGAGGGTGCGGATGAACGAAGTAAACATTTCTTAGAGAACATAAGATCTTACAACAGTATGTTTTCATTTACGTCAATGGGGGGTAGGGTGGAGGGAAATGTCAATAGGGGTGGATCTCCTCCCATTTTTAAATTGCATGGTCAAAATTATCATCTGATTGGTAGTTTGTTACCTCCTCCCGGTGCGAGGCCTAAATTTGCACAGCTGTATATATATGACACCGAGAATGAGGTTCAAAATAGATTTTCATCTGTGAGGTGCGCCACATTTCTTTGTGTTATTGTGATTCCAATGAATATTTAGAAAATAACCCTGCTATTTTTACACCTTTAATGTAGTGATAGTCGTGATAAGAGGAAGTTGCATGAAGGAATAATTGTTGGATTGACTCAAATGCTCAACGAACATAACGTTTTGGTAAAGTCATTTCGACTTGCCAAAGAGTTGATTGAAACAAACGCTGCCACAAATGTGCGGTTGAAGCTTATAGGCAATCGTTGCGGGGATGCTCGAACGTACAATTTACCTTCAGTGTCAGAGGTGGCTGCTTTAGTCGTGGGTGATTTTGATGAATCCCTCGGTGAGCGGGACATATTGGTTCAAACTCAAACTGGAGCGCTTCAGAGGATTAACGAGTTACATCCTGCCTATTTTGGTCTTCAGTATCCGTTATTGTTTCCTTACGGAGAGGACGGTTATCGTGAGGATACTTTGCTATCCACATCTGATGGTTCTGCTGTTGCTGGGAGAAAAAGAGTTAGTGTTAGGGAGTTTCTTGCATACCGTCTTCAAGAACGGCGTGATAATCATTCATCTCTTCTGAAGACCAAGAGACTTTTTCAACAATTTATTGTGGATGGTTATACTTTGGTTGAGTCGGCGAGACTTAAATTTGTTAGGACGCATCAGAAACATCTCCGTTGCGAAATGTATAAGGGTCTCAGTGATGCTTTCTTGCGGGGTGAAAACGATTCCCGCACACAAGGAAAGAGAATTGTTTTGCCTCCTACGTTCACGGGAGGTGCACGATATATGATACAGAATTATCAGGATGCTATGGCTATATGCAGGTGGGCAGGTTATCCGGATCTATTTATTACATTTACCTGTAATCCGAGGTGGCCAGAGATTGATCGTTTCCTCCATTCGAGGGGTCTAAGACCTGAAGATCGCCCTGATATTGTCATTCGAGTATTCAAGATAAAGTTGGACAGTTTGATTCAAGATCTGAGGAAAAAAAAGGCTTTCGGCTGTGTTAGGGGAGGTATGACATTAAAATTTTATTCTTTGTTCGTAATTTTATTATGAAATTCTTACATATTGTTTTTCCTTTTTAGTGGTGTACACGATAGAATTCCAGAAACGGGGATTGCCCCATGCGCATATTTTGTTGTGGCTATCTGTTGAGGATAAGTTGCCGTCACCTGATGATATTGATAGAGTGATTTCTGCTGAGATTCCAGATGTTAACAAGGACCCATTGTACTATGCTGCAGTTGCTGATTTTATGATGCATGGCCCTTGCGGCGGTGCAGTTAGGTCTGCGCCTTGCATGGTTGATGGGAAGTGCACCAAATACTTCCCCAAAAAGTGGTGCGCTGAGACGTCGGTCGATGACGACGGTTACCCGGTATATAAACGTGTTCGTAATAATCGTGTGATCCATAAGAATAAAGTGGATTTGGACAATAGGTATGTTGTCCCCCACAATCGATATTTGTTGATGAAATATGGTGCACATATGAATGTAGAGTGGTGTAACCAGTCTAGATCGATAAAGTATCTGTTCAAGTACATTAACAAGGGGCGTGATAGAGTAACAGCAGCCTTTTACAAAACTGTGGATAGTGATACACAGCACAAACCCGTTGATGAGATTCAAATGTATTATGATTGTAGATACATTTCCCCCTGTGAAGCTGCCTGGAGGGTTTATGGTTTTGAGATTCAGTACAAAAATCCGCCGGTGGAGCGATTGAGCTTTCATTTGCCAAATGAGCAATCCGTAGTTTTTGATGATGACCAGCCATTGAACTTGGTTGTTAATTCCACGTCTGTTAAGGATAGTATGTTCACAGCATGGATGGAGGCGAATAAAAAATATCCTGAGGCCAGATCTCTGACATATGCTGAGTTCCCCCAGAAGTTCGTTTGGAATAAAAAATTGAGGGAATGGACTCCCAGAAAAAAGGCTTTTGCAATTGGTAGAATTTATTATGTCCATCCTGGCAGTGGTGAATCTTATTACATTAGGTGCCTCTTGAATCACATTCGTGGTGCGATGTGTCACGAAGATCTTAGAACTGTGGCTGGTGTAACATATGTTTCATTTCGTGAGGCATGTTATGCATTGGGATTACTAGATGATGATAAGGAATTCATTGATGCCTTTAAGGAAGCCAGCTTTTTCTCTTCAGGCTTTTATATGAGGATTTTATTCGTTATTCTTTTGTGGACGGAGTCAATGTCTCGACCCGAATCTGTATGGCAACATTGCTGGAGGTATATGGCGGATGACATACAGCACACACGAAGGCGAATGTTGCAACATCCAGGTTAAATCCCATGTTGGAGGGAATGTTATCCTTACTTTTATATTTATACTCTGTTTATTTCTTCGTTTGTCATGATTTTTTAATTATCTTTGGTTTATCTTTTTGCAGAATTGATTCTTTCTGATGACCAGTTGGAGAAATTTACGTTGGCTGAAATAGAGAAATTGTTGCGAGGTCGCGGAAAGAGTTTACGAGATTACCCTCCGATGCCAACAGTTATGTTGGATTCACTGCTTTCTTCCGATGACAGGATGATATATGAAGAGCTAAGCTATGACCGGATCGCAATGGCTGAAGAGCATACAACATTGTTCGCCTCCTTGACGGATGAGCAACTGCGTGTCTATGAAATGATTATGCATTCCGTGGAAGGGGAGACAGGAGGTGTTTTCTTTGTATACGGATATGGTGGATCTGGAAAAACATTTGTGTGGAAGACCCTTTCTTCCGCCCTTAGGTCTAAGGGTGAGGTCGTCCTCAATGTTGCATCGAGTGGGATTGCTTCCCTACTTCTTCCTGGTGGACGAACTGCACATTCTCGATTTGCCATACCAATTAGTTTGAATGAAGATTCAACGTGCAACATTAAGCAAGGGAGCCCTCTTGCTAGACTTATTGTACGATGCAAACTCATTATTTGGGATGAGGCTCCAATGCTGCACAAATTTTGTTTTGAGGCATTGGACCGCAGCATGAGGGATATTATGCAGTTTCACAGACAAAACAGTGTATCTTTGCCTTACGGTGGAAAGACTGTGGTATTCGGGGGTGATTTTCGCCAAGTCCTCCCTGTAATACCTAATGGGAGCAGACAAGATGTCGTCAATGCCACAATCAATTCCTCTTACTTGTGGTCTAATTGCACCGTTCTTCGTTTGACCAAAAACATGCGTCTGCAGAATTTGACAAGTGAAGCCGAATCATATGATTTGAAGAAGTTCTCGCAATGGATTGCGAGTATTGGTGACGGCGTATTGGGTGAAGAAAATGATGGATTTGTGTCGGTTGGTATCCCCGATGATCTGTTGATTCACACAAATGCTGATCCTATAGCTGCCATTGTGGAAAGCATCTTCCCCGAGTATGTAGCATCTGCAAATGACATTAGTTGTCTGCGTGATCGTGCAATATTGGCCCCAACACTTGCCGTAGTAGAATCTGTCAATGATTATATGATGGGTCTCAACGTTGGGGAAGTTTCCAGGACTTATCTTAGTTCTGATAGTGTGTCGAAAGTAGATTCATCTACCGATCTCATGGCAGAACTGCACACGCCGGAATTCCTGAACAGCATTAAGTTGTCTGGTGTCCCAAATCACAAATTGACTTTAAAGGTTGGGACCCCGATCATGCTTCTCAGAAATATAGATCATTCAATGGGGTTGTGTAATGGCACTCGACTAATTCTCACCAGGCTTTGCGATCATGTTTTGGAGGGCAAAATTTTGACCGGTCTAAGTGCCGGACAAAAAGTGTTGATTCCTAGATTGTCGTTAACTCCTTCTGATGCCAACTTGCCATTCACGTTTCAAAGGCGACAGTTCCCCATTATGATTTCATATGCAATGACTATAAATAAAAGTCAAGGTCAATCGTTGTCTCGAGTGGGGTTATTGCTGAAGAGACCGGTGTTTACTCATGGACAGCTCTATGTAGCGGTTTCAAGAGTGACCAACAGGCGTGGTTTGAAAATACTTATATGCAATGAGAGGGGCACGACGGCTGATTCTACTCAAAATGTGGTTTACAAAGAGGTTTTCAATAACCTTTGACCTTGCAAGGTTTAGGTTGTAACACTCCACGATCGTCCTTTGCATGATTGTTTTTCTTCAATTTGTTATTTCATTCCTTTGTTTAATCCTTCTTTGATCTTGAATTTTGTACTCTGATTGTTGCTATGTTCCAAACAATTGTTTTTGTTATGAAAAGTTCTCTTTGTGCTTATGGTTTGAAAAACAATTTCACCGAAGATAATATGGGTAAGAAATTCACCAACCGTGCATCGCACGGGTGAATTACTAGTGTATAATTAAAGAGAGAAAAGTAAAGTAAGAGACCAATAAATGATGAGTCAAATGCTTAGTTTTCTTTTCATATCTGTGCAAAACAGACAACTCCTCTTTTTATACATTACTATAATAATGAAAAGTGTAACAAATTTTCATCTATTTATATATTCAAAGAAATCAAATTAAATAGAAATACAATATAAAATATTGATCATTTCATCTCAGGTTATTAACAACTAAATCAACAACATGTGACTATTAGTGACTTACCATACTAACCAAAGGATTAGGCTGCTTAAAAATTCTGAAATCACATTTGTAACTTACCCAGGTAGTGACTGTTAAGTTTTGGTCAGATTATGCTATTGGATACAAAGTTAAGTTATATGTAGTATCATTTAAAAGCCACGTGCTTTCCTTACAATAGATATATTGGCTAAAAAACAGTATGAAGATGATCCATTTCCTTCACTTTCTATTAGCATAAATTTGTATTTATCTTGAATTTTGTGAATTTGAAAGTGTATAGAAAACTTACGAAAGGTTAAACATCATAGGAGTACATTATGCCTTTGTTTTAGGCATTCTCTCTTGGACTCAAACACTGCACCTTTTCTACAATTTGCAACTACTCATTCATCAATTGTAGCTATTTAAGAACTCTGAAAAGCCTAATTATAGAAATTCTAACAAATCAAAAGACGGCAAGACACATTCTCATCACCATGAACTTACTGTATAGACCAAGTGAACTTGTTATAGTAACCGACATGTTAAAGAATGGGAGTAGCAGTGAAATAGCATTAAATTTTTTTCTTTTTTTCATAGCATTAAATATATTTTCTTTTTTCATAGCATTAAAAATTAAGAATGAGATTTTCTAAGTCTTGTATGGATATGAAATTCTCTGTGTGCAGAGGTATATGTAAAAAGAAAATGAGCTGTGAAGTGGAATAGAGTGATATCTCAAAAACAACAAACATATGTGGTATACATTACTACTCAAAGTAGTATGCAAAGTGAAGTCTGCAAGTCAAAGAAATTAAGCATATTAAGGTCACCAAGAAGTAAAAAAAAGAAGTAAAACCTTATCACATTTCTGGTAGATCTCCCTCGTATCATCTCCTCTGCGAATGCAGCAAAAAAGATATAACAATGAAAAATGGCTCTATTAGTTCTCCAAAAATGGACTGATTCTAATTCTAATGCTAAATAGTCATTTGTTTTAAATGCTCTTATAATGGATAGTATGAATAAGTGAGATTTAACATACATACCTGAGATGAAAGCAAGTAAATTAGACAAAGAGAAATACCATTTTTGCCTCAAAAGTGATTGAGGCAAAAATGATACGGAAAATGTTACATAATAAATGTTTAATGTGTTCCAAACTTGCAATCAGCAGAAACAAAAAAACATATTTAAACTAAGCAAGTAAATTAAGCAAAGAAGAAATTCCAGATTGTAATCATTCATTTGTTGTAAATAATTTGATACCGAGTAGTCCGAAGGAGGTGGATTTAACATACTAAATGAGAAAAAAGTAAGTAAAATAGGCCATGAGAAAATGTCATATGCTAAATTGCTATTTAGTCTTTTACACTTTTATGATCCCTACCCATCTCAGTTTTTGGGAAAAAAGTACCAATGTGGCTTCAAAAGTGATTCAGGTACAAAAATATAATGGCAAATTCAACGTACAAAATGAGAACAGTTTTAAGACCGGCAAACAATAGAAACAAAGCATAAGTTTGGACTAAGCAAGTAAAATCGGCAAAGAGGAAATAATTGTGAGTAAAATAGGAACTAAAACCCTAACTTGTCATTATCAAGCATCTTATTTTTCCCATTGGAATCCAAATTTGGGGAAGAAATAATTGTGAGGCAAAAATGATACGGAAAATGTTACATAATAAATGCTTAATGTGTTCCAAACTTGCAATCAGCAGAAACAAAACAGCATATTTAAACTAAGCAAGTAAATTAAGCAAAGAAGAAATTCCAGATTGTAATCATTCATTTGTTGTAAATAATTTGATACCGAGTAGTCCGAAGAAGGTGGATTTAACATACTAAATGAGAAAAAAGTAAGTAAAATAGGCCATGAGAAAATGTCATATGCTAAATTGCTATTTAGTCTTTTCAGTGTTGTGAATCGCGGCGCTTTAGCGCGCAATAGCGGAAAAGCGGAGCGGCATACCTGTTAGGCGCTATGAGGAGGGGTCTCGCGTGGCGTTTGGGAGTTGCGTTCAAAGCAGCCGCGATCGCAGGGGTGCGCTGTAGGTAATAGCGGCCGCTAACGCGGCGCTTTTTGTTCTAAAGAGTACTGCGGCCCAGATTTTTAGCGTTAAAATTTTTAACGCTGACATAGAGGGGGTAAAATAGACTTTTAAAAGAAAATATTAACCTAGTTAAAGGCTCAGACGTAAGTTAAAGGATACCAAAAGCTAAAATTGAAGCCCAGGTTTTGAAAATAGTCCGTTGCACCTCTGCGATGGCTCTAACGACCATCATCTTTTTCTTCTGCTCTGCGATGGGCTCACTTCCAAGAACGACACCTGCTGCTCTCATCTGCCTTCAGTAATATATTTGCTGCAACTATTCTTCTCCAACCTTTGCTGCAACTATTCTTCTACAACCTTTGCTGCAAGACTTCTTCTAGAACCTTTGCTGTAACTATTCTTCTCCAACCTTTGCTGCAAGACTTCTTCTCCAACCTTTGCTGCAACTATTCTTCTCCAACCTTTGCTGCAACTATTCTTCTCCAACCTTTGCTGCAGAGCTGCACTCTTCTCTTCTTCTTATGGAGTCTAGTCAGTCTACTGTGTTGTTTAAGCCCACAGGAGAACATCTTGACCCAGCTTGGAAGTGGAACAGTCTGAGAGATGCCAAAGACAAGAAATCTGTTACTTGTGATTTTTGTGGCAAAACTACTACTGGAGGAATTACCAGAGCCAAAAGGCACCAAATGGGAATGAGAGGAGATGTTGGGGCTTGCAGGAAAACTCCAGCTGATGTTACAATCTTCCTGAAAGAAGCATATGAGAAAAAAAAGGGGGAAAAAGAAGCATACATGGAGTTGCAAGAAGATGAAGATGACATGGAAGACCTTAATGAAATTCTGAATATTAGAAGAGGAAAAAGACCCCTAACTGCATCAACTGAGTCCTCTCATCGTTCTGCCAAAAAGGTCAAAGGACCCTTGGACTTGCTTTACTATAAGAAACCAGAAAACACAATAAGCTTGGGAAAAGCTAAGAGGCAAACAAGCATAAATGATGCTTGTGACAAGGAAGCTAGGGCCAGAACCATTCAATATATTGAAAGATTTCTATGCACAAATGGAATTGCTTTTAATGTTGTGAAATCAAAAAGTTTCAAATTGATGGTTGAGGCTATTGGAAATTATGGTCCTCATTTAATGCCCCCAAGCTATCATGAGTGTAGAGTTCCACTTCTTAAAAAAGAATTGGAGTACACTAAAGGACTGTTAAAGGGCCACGAAGAAGAACGTGCACAATATGGATGCTCAATTATGTCCGATGGATGGTCAGATAGGAAAAATAGAACATTGATTAATTTTTTGGTGAACTGCCCAAGGGGGTCAATGTTTGTGAAGAGTGTTGATGGTTCTGAATACACAAAAACTGGTGAGAAATTATTTGAGCTTCTTGATCAATTTGTTGAGACAATTGGAGAAGAAAATGTGGTGCAAGTGATCACCGACAATGGAAGTAACTATGTTCTTGCGGGTAAT